TTTTCTATTAAATTAAATCTTCTTCATATTATTATTTAAATTTAATTATCTCAAAGTTAACAATTTTAGTCTTTCAAAATATTATTTAAATTACCACAAGACAAACAAATTGGATAAAAAAAAAACAATAACCTCCACTGATCAATTTGTCATCATATTCTCCATTTTCTGTTCATTTTTTCATTGTCATACAATATTCAATTTTTGCAAAGATGAATTTATTATGAAAAAATTTCACTATAAAAAATAAAAAAAACAAAATTGTATCTAAAATTATTATCAACTATATCCATTAACAAGGTAATTGAGGTAACACTCTTTAATTGCAAAACGAAATAGAAATATGACATTTTTCGTTGAAGACTTCGAACAACTATATTCATTAACAAAGTAGTTGAGATAACATTCCTTAATTACAAAATAAAATAGAAATATGATATTTTTCGTTGAAGACTTCAAAGTAAACCATTGAGTTAAGGTTGAAAGTTGAAAATGAATAAATCTTGCATCAAACATCATCAACAGTAAACTAGTCAAACATAGGGAAACCAAGTATTTAGATGACTTTTAATTGTGTTTGGGAACATGTATTTAAATTTAATAAAACTAAAATTAGCAATTTTAGTCTTCTAAGGTATTATTTAAATTACCTCAAAATAAATAAATTGAATAAAAAAAATTACCCCTACTAATCAATTTATTTTCATGCTCTCCATTTTCTATTCATTTTTCTTAAATATACTTCTTTTGATTAAATGATAGGTGCAGTAGTTATCGCATGAAATTAATTTTAAAAAAATTAAGCAAATCTTATGTTATCTAAAGGATACCCAAAAAAAACCTACACACCAATCACGTTGGGTCCTAGATTTTTTAAATAAAGATACTTCCCTAACCCAATCACAGACGCCAAAATCCATATCTAACCCGCAAAGACGCGATCATCTTCCTCACCCCCTCCCCTCCGACGTGTTACTACTTAAACTGCATTTTAAATCCGCATTTCAAGTCCGCCCTTTGAAAAATCGAAAACACACACACCCTTCCATAGTGGTTGTGCTTCTCTGCTTCTAGACTCTTGGATTTGATTTCCAGACTCTAGATCGACCATCGACCTGGCAGATTATGGTGACTCCTTCAAGTTTTCTGATTTCTCAACTCTCTCTTTTTTTTGTTCTTCTTTGTTAATTCTCAGTTTCGCATCTTTTGCTTTTGATTTTGCAGTGATTCGTGTAGTTTCTGAAGTCACAATGGAGTCTTCATCATCGTCGGGGTGCGGAGGAAATGCAGGGTTTGAAATTGAAATCCATGGGTTTAAGGATGAATTTGAAATACATGGATTTTAAGCCTTTCAAATACCTGGGTAAATTACATGTATTTTACTTAAATTCAATTACATTTTATTTAGGGAAAAACAAACAATGATATTGAATTTAAAGTGTTGAAATTCAATTACATCCTATGAAATTCATGTTCCCAAACAGAGCAAAGGTGTTTTTACCCACAAGGTATGAAAACAGAAGAAAGCGACAGAGCTCATGCATATTGTCATCAATTCTACCTTAGTAATTATAATTCTAATTTTAAATTATAAGTAGGATCATTCATATTTCACTACTTCATTTAGCATTTGAATTTAAATTTTTTTCTCTTTAGAGATAAAATAGTGAAAATTTAAGGATAACCATCTTTAATCCCCATATACAACATTAGAATAGAATGGAACGCATGAATTAATCTAATTAGAGAAAAGTGAAAACTAAGATATTGTTGTATTTAAAATGTTAAGCTTATTTATAAAATTGTTTAAATATTTTTCATGAATCTTTTTTTATTGATTCATTAAGGTTATATAAATTTTTTCATTATTATTTTTTATTATTTAATTGTCAAGACATTTTGATATTTTACAATTTCTTGTGATTATTATGTAATTGTAAACACTAATTATAACTAACAATTTAAACTTGAAATTTTTCATTGGCACATAAATCTTGACTTAAAGAGTTCTATGATGGGATCTTCGTCCCAAGTTGTTTGACCATCTTTTTCTTATGGAAAATCGAAATAGCTAGGATCAACATTATTTGGATTTTTAGTTTTTCCCTTTAAAAATGAATTTTTATGAGCACAGAAATTAGATTGCATAGATAATTATAATGTGATCCCATGAAGATTAAGGGTCCTAATTTCAACAAGAATATTGCAACCAAATTTGAGTTTAAAATTTAACAATTAAATCATATTTTAATATAATTTATTTAAACAAAAGATAAATTAATTTTGAAAAATTTAATAAGGGATACCAACCAACCTTAACAATACCTTCAATAATAAAAATAAGCACAACAACTAATTTAATCCCAATCAACCTTATATTCATGTTGCCATTATCTTTCAACGAGAACAAAATACAATGAAAATATTGAGAAGATAAGGGCAAAAGCTCTTAAAAACAGGGGGGAAATCTCGAAAAAAAAACAAAGAATTCTCACCTTTATATATATATATATATATATATATATCTATATTTAAAGAATTCTCACCTATAACTATTCATCATAACCATTCATCATAACCATTGAGAGCGAGAGATGTGGTGGCTAGAGCAATGGAGAAAACAAGAAAAGATGGGAGGTTAAGGAAATTTAATTAGCTTTACTTCAACATGATGATATATATACATACATATATATATATATGCTTAGTGCATATCTATCCTAATTTTTTTTTTTAAATTGGGTTTTCACCTTCCTTTTGAAAACTAAAATCTCAATTTAAAATTTAAAAATTTACCTTATTAATTTTGATATCTAAATTTGAAAATCAATTATATATTCTAATATAATTCATTTCTAAATCTAAATATCAGTATTTGATAAAATAGATTTTTAAATTTTAAATTAAATTTTAATTAAATAAAATGATATAGTTTAAGGTTGAAACTCTAATTTATTATGAGAGTCAAGACTAATATACATTGTTCCATATATATATATATATATATTTGAGAAGAGATCTACTCATATATTACACTTATACAAAATCTCAACTATTTATTTCTCTACTTTTGATAGTTGAGATTTATCATGACTTTTTAAATAAAAAAATAGTTATTTTTAATAAATGTAAATAAATAGGTAGGGATCCACTTACACACTAAGTCTTATACACTGTATTTATATAAAATCTTAATAATTTATCTCTCTATTTTAAATAGTTGAAATTTATTATAACTTTTTAAATAAAAAAGTAATTATCTTTAATAAATGTGAATAAATTTGAATCATTAAAAATTAAAAAAAAATAAATTATTAAGATTTTATATAAATATAATATGTAAAATTCATATGTAAATAAATTCCTCGTGCTTTATATATGTATTCATCTTTTTCCTTTTTAATGGATGTTTTAGGTGTTTGCACAAGAATAAAGGAAGCTATTGATTAACCTCCATAATAGAGATATACATATTTAAAGTACCAAATTAACCTTTCTCTATTTGGGTAATGGTATTTTAGCATTTAATGATGATAACAGAATATTGAGGGTAAACTTATGAAAATGAATTAAATGCTGGTATATTGGTTTAATCTGGACAATAAATCCCGAAATAAAAGTCATGTTTTTGCCATGGATTATGTTTTCACAAAAATCCTTAGCTAGACCCTATCATGTGAGTCTGGTTTTAGAATGTACCGTTGACTTTGTCTAAAAATGAGAAAATAAGATTTTTTCAAGGACAGGGTCAACCTTCGAGTAGGATAACTAAAAAGGACATTTTTTTTTTTAGGAAAAAAGGCAAGTTTTCCATTAGACGTTAGATGACATGTACAATTTCCTCCCAGGTATACCCGGGGAATTACACCTTTTAGATCTTTAATCTCAAAAAGTTAACTATTTCATTATATACATCCTTTTCAACCAAAAACTTACTAAGAATTACTCTCCTATTTCTTTCCTGCCAAATCATATAAATAGTGGCAGCTATCGCAGCCTTCAACTTGTTTGACTGCGTCGATCGGCCTTTACATGCCTTCTTTAACCATAGCCATTCAACACTCCACCTTTTTGGTTGTCTATGAATATTCAAGAAGTCCAAGACTAACCTCCACACTTCTTTAGCAAAATTACAATAAAAAAACAGGTGTTCACAAGTTTCATCATATCTACCACACAAGCAGCACTATTTCTCAATTCTCATACCTCTACTTGTTAGTAAATCTCTAGTTTTTAGTCTACCCCGCAATACCAACCAAAAGATGAATCTATGTCACGGGACAATGCACCCTGCCCAAACAATCTGATGCCATTCTACCTTAGGGCGTTTCACTCTTAGGAACTCATAGCAACTTGAAATAGTAAACAAACCATTCTTTGCAAGTTTCCATACAGCCTTGTCCACTTGTTGAGATAGTTTTTGACATCTAATAATCTGGACAAGCATGGGATGTCTTCTCACAAAACTATCTGGAATGGTCCAATTTAAACCATCCCACCACTCACTAACTGTAAGGTCGTGGCCCCAAACAGCAATCTCATCCTTTGAGATCAACTCACAGAACCTTAACTCACATGCCCATGAATCATAGAATAGTGAGACTTGTCTTCCATCTCCTACTTGCATCCAAATGATATTTTTCAGTAGAGGACAAAGTTTTAAAACTTGCCTCCATGTCCAAGCACAATCCGTTGGGATTTTAACCTTCCAAAAATTTTCACCTCTCAATAGCGCCGCCTGTGCCCACTTAACCCATAGCGACTCTTGATGTTGACATATATTCCAAACCAATTTGCCTAATGCTACCTTATTCCAACGCAGCAATTGCTTCATCCCTAGTCCTCCTTCTTTCCTTGGCACACATACATCATCCCATGCTACAAGAGATATTGCATTATAATTCTATTTACCACACCAAATGAAATTTCTACAAGCAGCATCAATTAGCTTTAACACTTTCTTAGGAATCCATAAAGCACCACTCCAAAAAACTTGAATGTGGAATAAAATAGAGTTAACTAGTTGAACTCTACCTATATATGAAAGGAATTTCGTTGCCCAAGAGCCAATTCTCTGATGAATTTTATTGATAATAGGTTGACATGCCCCAGGAGATAGCTTTTTAAAATCAATGGCAACCCCAAATATCTAACTGGAAGCTTTCCCTCAGCAAAACCTAGCTTCTGAATTAAAGCAACTTTCTGCCCTTCTCTAACACCACTGAAGAAAACCTGACTCTTCATTCTATTCACTTCCAACCCAGAGACTTGGGCAAACTCCTTAAACTTTTGCATCATCAAAACAGTGGACTCCTCATCAGCCTTACAAAAAAGCATAATGTCATCTACAAAGATCAAGTGCGTAAGTTGCATCACTCGAGACTTACTATGATATTTAAACTTCTCCTGCATATCTAACTCCTTCAATTTCCTTGTGAGATATTCCATCACTAGCACAAATAGATAAGGCGAGATTGGATCACCTTGTTGAAGCCCTCGTTGCCCTTGAAAATAACCTTTTGGCTGTCCGTTTATCAATACAGAAAATCTGGTAGTAGAAACACAAAGCATAAGCTAGTTAATAAATCTATCAGGGAAGTTCAGCCCTTTTAATATTGCATTAATAAAACCCCAATCCACTGAATCATATGCTTTTTGTAGATCAATTTTCATTAAGCATCTAGCTAGCCCCCTACTTCTATGATAGTTCCTCACCAGATCTTGGCAAATCAATAAATTGGTCGTTATAGATCTGCCCTTCACAAATGCAGTTTGATTACTGCTAACCAGCATGCTCAGCACTTCATTAATCCTCTGGGTTAAGAGCTTTGATATCACCTTGTAGATGACATTACAACAAGCTATTGGCCTATAATCCCTGACAACATTTGGGCAACTCACCTTCGGAACAAAGTAATATTGGTGGCATTAATTTGCTTGAGGATTTTCCCACTGTCAAAGAAATCCAACACAGCAACCGTGACATCATTTTTAATTATTGACCAAACTGCTCTATAGAACCCTGAAGTGAATCCATCAGGCCCTGGTGACTTGTTAGAAGGAATTGAAAATAGGGCAGTCTCCACTTCTTTAGCAGTAAATGGCCTCCATAACTCTTCTGACTCTTCAGTAGTTAACACTCTGCCCTTGCGGATCACATTCATATCAACTGCTTGAACACCTTTTTTTGCCTTTCCAAACAAGTTTTGATAGAACATTAAAAACTCTTGTTCTATAAGTTCAAGCTGAGTCACTCTAACTCCTTCACTGTTCAGGAAGGAGTTAATAACACTTCTATGCTACCTCTCCTTTACTTTAGCATGAAAATAAGCTGAATTAGAGTCCATCTCCTTTAGCCAAGTTACTTTAGCTCGCTGGGCAATTATGGACAGATTTGCTCTCTCAAGCTTAGTTAATTCATGTTGAAGTTCCTTTTCCTTTGTAGCCAAAGTCTCATCAAATAAAGCATTCTGCATGGAAGCTTAAACATTTTGTAGCTTTACTACCATATCTTTTATTCTTCCCTCCAAGTTTCCATATCTATTTTTATGCAGCTGCTTCATCTTTTGTTTTACCAATTTCAATTTCTGCACTACAACAAACATAGGGCATCCCTAAATATCCACACTCCAAGCTTCTTTAACCAGATCAAAGAAGTTTTTATCCTTAGACCAAGCATTGCAGAATCTAAATGGCCTTGGTTTCTCATTCATCAATACATCCACAGTCACTAAAGAGGGTGAGTGATCTGAGGATTGTGGATTTAAAAAGACAACAGAAGTATTTGGGAATGCAGTAACCCATGTTGAATTAGCCATTACCCTGTCCAGCTTGCACCACAGCCTGTCATTTTCCCCTTGCTTATTACTCCAAGTGAAGAAAGCACCTGAAAATTGCAAATCAAAAACCTCCATTTTACTGACAAAATCCTTGAGCTCAGAGGTATCTCCCCAAACAACTCCACTAGGCTTCACCCTTTCACCATAATTTAGAGTTGTATTAAAATCTCCAGAAATTATCCATGGCACATTTTCAATGTCTAGAGGTTTAACTTGATCCCATAATGCTACTCTACCATCAAAAGTATTAAAAGCATAGACAATTGTGCACAAAAATTTAACATCCCCAACTGCAGAGCATACTTCAACATGTAGCAATTAGTCTGTTTGTATTACTTCAGTCACCCTCAAATCTGTTTTATTCCATAATATCCAAATTCTACCATTAGGATGAGAGTTATAATTATTCAACCATCCCCATTGCCTACCAAAAGTTTGCACAACTCGACTACTATTCTCTTGTTTCACTCTAGTTTATAATAAAGCCATAAACTGGGCTTTATTTGAACATATAAACTTCTTAACATCTACTTGTCTTATAGGGTCATTCAAACCCCTCACATTCCATGAAGAAAGATATATCATGAGAGAGATTTACTTACAAAAGCTTCTCCCCCCGCTGCCTTTTGCATCATCTCTTTATCCCCTGTGCCAGTACTAGTCTCACTCTGTAGATTCACTGACTACATAGCTCCCACTTCCAGTTGCACTGGACTTTGCTCATTGCTTTCCACTATCAGCTTTCCAGAAGGACGTGAAAGTGTACTCTGCTTCACATTTGCTGAGTTAGTAGCAATTTGCACTTCACCACCACATAATTCATCATTCCCCTCAGAAGACTTCATGCCAACTATTTGATTGACCACTTGCTCCTCGGCAGGTTTTTTTGGAACCCACACCTTTTTTTCCTTAGCAGTACAATTTCTCTCTTCATGCCCCAGGTTTCTACATTTACCACATCTGACAGGCTCTCATTCAAAGACTACAGGCTGTTGGAACACACCCTTAGGACCAATAATAGGAACTACACGGGGCAGAGTGTCCATGATTTCCATCTCTACTAGCAT